AAAAAAAAAAAGACTTGTTTTGTAACCCACCCTGTGAACTGTCCTGGGAAATGGAGTTTGTTGATAACGCTCTCTTTCTGTTTCTCAAATATAGGCATCTAATGTGATAAATTTCCCTCTTAAGACCGCTTTTGCTATATCTCACAGATTTTGGTAACTTGCATCTTCAATTCTGGAGTACATACCATGGGCTAACAAGAAAAATGTATATTCCTTAGCTTTGGGTTGATGTGTTCTGTATATGACTATTAATTCCATTGTTTTAGGGCTACATTTCAGTCCTTTTGTATCTTTGTTTAGTTTCTGTGTAGAGGATATGTCCTGTCTGTCAGGGGGTATTAAAGTCCCAAATATTATGGTGTTATGGGATATCATATTGCTCAGGCCCCTCAAGGTCTATTTCATAAATCTAGGAGCATTTAAGTTGGGTACTTAAGTATTTAAAATTGTAATGTCTTCTTGCTGTATTGTTCCTTTGACCAGTATGAAGTGTCCTTCTTGGTCTTCCTTAACTTTAGTTGCTTTAAATAAACTTGTATCTGAAAATAAGATTGCAAGCCCTCCTTTCTTCTGATTTCCATTTGCTGAAATACTGTTTTCCATCCCTTAACCCTGAGTCTTGTTTGTTCTTCAAGGCTAGGCTGTCTCCTGGAGACAGCATATGGATGACTTGTGCTTTTTTATCCAATCGGCCAGTCTATGCCTCTTCCGTGGTGAATTCAGGCCATTGACATTTATTGAGAGAAATGATAAGTGTGAGGAGTTCTATTCATCTTATTTTGTGAAAGTTCCTTGTGTAGTTTTATCCTTTGCGGCACTGTGGAAGCTAAGTTTTGACCTTTAGCTTCTGGGTGTTTACTTTGCTGGTGGTCCATTGTGGTGGTCAGTGTTGAGAATAGGTCTAAGTATTTCCTGTAGAGCTCGTCTTATTGTGGCGAATTTCCTCAGTGCTTGTATATCTGCAAAAGATTTGATTTCTCCATCAATTTTGTAGCTTAGGTTAGCAGGATACAGAATTTTGAGCTGAAAATTGTTTTGTTTAAGAATGCTGAAGGTGGTTAACCATGGTCTTCATGCTTAGAAGGTTTCAGGGGGAAAGTCTGCTGTCATCCTAATGGCTGTGCCTTTGTAGGTCAGTTGGCACTTATTGGTTGCTTACAGAATTTTTTCTTTGACTTGACTTTGGACAGGTCATTACATTGTGTATTGGAGAGGCTCTGTTTGAGTTGAGATGACCCAGGGTTCAATATCCATCTGAAAGGAGTGTGTTAGGGTCTTCAGTAGGACTTGGAAAGTTTTCATTTATGATAGTCTCCAGTAGGGCTTCCATTCCTTTGGGACACTCTTCTTCCCCTTCAGGAATCCCTATTATTAGTATGTTGAACACTTCATGGAGTCTCATAGTTCTCTAAGCACTTGTTCTGCTTTCTCTCTCTTCTCTTCTGCCTCTTTTAACTACCTGGGCTTACTCAAAAACTTTATCTTGTAGCTCTGAGGTTCTTTCCTCTCCATGGTTTAACCTATTTTTAATACTTTCTACTGTGTCTTTATATTTCTTGATTGTCTTCTTCATTTCCTTAAGCTTTGCCACATCCTTTCTATATTCTACATATCTCTTGTCTGACTTTTGGTGTCCTGGAGACGTATTACAACATATTGTCATCAACAGCAAGGATTTCTCCCCCTCTCTGTGCTCCCTGAGCTATGACTCTGGCTAAGGTTCCTGCGTCAGGTATGGTTGGGTTGTCTCTTTTTCTCACTCTAGGAGAGCTCAGCTCAGCAATCCTAGACTTTTACCTGAAACCTTCCAAGCCAGAAGAGCATGATCAACCACTTTCAACATTCTTAAACAGAATAATTTTCTCATCCATTCCTTTTATTGTCTTTATCATCCATATTTTAAATTCCCTTTCTGTGAAGTCCATTAATTATTTATAGGTGGAGTCTTATGCAGTAGCTACTTCATGATCCTTTGGGAGAGTTCCTCTGTTTTAGTTTCTCATATTACCCAAATTTTTCTCTTGGTTCCTCCTCATGTGTTCTTTCTTCTTGTTTATCTCTTTGTCCTCCTTTTTCCTTCTCACTGCCTCCATATGTTGCCATATGTCTCCAGGACACCAGGTGGTGCTGAGGTTGTTTTAGGAGACATAGAGCACAGCCAGCAACTTCTATGGCCCTTATTCCAATCTTAGTTGTCTTCAGTGATCACCTGATTGTTTCCTCAGCATTCAAACTCTGCCAGGTTGAGATCTAAAAGCTTACAAGAATCCTTCAGCAGCATGTGTCACAGTACTCCCTGACTCCAGTTCCTGTGGGGTGCAGGAGTCCTTCAGTCTGTCCCAAGAGTGGAGTTCTGATCCCAGCAGGTGGAGTTAAGATGGCTGTACTTTAGGTCCCTGCTAAAAACTTCTCACAACCTCCCCACAATGGCAGCCCTCTGGCCACTGAGAACTTCTCAGCATGCTCATTTGCCAGCCACCAAACCTATGGCAAATCCACTCCAACTGGCATTCAAATCTGGTTGCTATATATTGTTCAAGTCTGCCCACTCTTCCAAGCTTTCCACTTAATGAGCAGCTTCCCCCAACAACTAAAAACTCTGGGAAAGGCTTCCTCCTGTCCCAGACCTCTGTGAGTGGCCAGCTGATCACAATCACTTACCTAATTCATCATATTTCCACCATTTCAGATCATACGTTGTCTTCGGCTCACTACCCCCTCACTG